CCCCAAAACCCCAAAACCCCAAAACCCCGCTGAGCTTAATTTGATGATTAATTTACTTTTAATTAATTTAATTATTTTTGACTAATTACATTATTCAACCAAATATATGCCAAAAGTTAAGCTGTAGGATTTACTGCCCAAACATAGAATGGTCATTGATCCAAAGAGACATTTGATGGCTCACCCTATCTATTAATTAGGTGATATTTAAGATATAAAGCAAACTCATCGTTAGACAGATGGAATAAGAGATAAAATGGCTCTATATTCTGTGAGAGGTATCAGAAGAGTATTTGATATGCTAACTGGTTATAATCAAGATAGAATGAGTGAGAGACTTTGGTTAAATAGAGTGATATTTCTAGAAACTATAGCTGGAGTGCCAGGAATGTGTGGTGGAATGACAATACATTTAAAAAGTTTGAGATCATTGAAACCAGATAGAGGAATGATACACTACCTTCTAGAAGAAGCTGAAAATGAGAGAACTCACTTATTTCTCTTCATGAACTTTAAAAAACCTAATTCATTGTTCAAGCTATTGATAGCAATGACCTAAGGGGTGTTCTGGAATTTTTACTTCTTGTGCTATTTGATGAGTCCTAAGTTCTGCCACAGATTAGTAGGTTATCTCGAAGAGGAAGCAGTTTATACCTATACAATCTTGCTAAAACAAATAGACTAGGGTTTCTTACCAGAATTAGAGAAGTCTGACGCACCTAAAATTGCAAAAGAATATTATGATTTGCCTGAGGATGCCAAATTTAGAGATATGGTATTGGCTATCAGAGCTGATGAAAGTATTCACAGAGAATTCAACCATTATTTCGCTGAACTCAGGCCAGAAGAAGAGATTGAAGAGCTTGACATAACTGTGATGGGTCAAGAGACTAAAAATATCACTCAAACTGACTGACTGATATAATTTAGGCTATTGGGGACTTATTAGACTTTGGATATTTTAATATTTAAGAGTTATTGGTTAAGATTAATTATCTAAATATTGATTAGCTAATACTAGGTGGGTTTTGGGGTTTTGGGGTTTTGGGG